AGGAGAGGAGAGGAGAGATTGCTGGAAGAAGGCCAGGAAACCAAACACCGTGAAATAATCCTGCCCTTAATGCAGGCTTTAACTAGTAAACAAACACACTGAAGCAAACCAGTACAATATGGTCAATTGATTTTGCTTTTACCAGGACTGAGCAACAGATGCAGAAAGACTGGGGGAATCTATGTAGGAAAAGGCTACAGCAAGGATACCAAATATGAGAAGACAAGGTGACTTCTTCCTTTCCTGACTCATCACATACGAGATCTTCAGGATGGGGTACTCTCTAGAGATCTATGCTGTTTGCCTTTTTAAAGATGGATGGGTACTGAGTTTTGTGAAAATATATCAAGATCTATTTGTTAATCTATTCTGTTTGTCAAGTTGAATCTCATCCAGAAAAAAACTCTGATAGGCTGAAGAAATAGAGAAATGTAATCAAATATTTAAAAATTAAGGTATTTTATAGGCCACTGATCCACTAAAACAGTTTATCAAACACACAAACACACACAGACACGTGCATATACAGAACAGGGTAAAGGCTAAGTAACTAAGCCTAAACTAAATAACCTTGAGTTATCTGTGACCAAGTAGAGAAAGACTCATTGCCTTATCAGTTGTTAGTTGAGCAAATCTTTCATGTAAGGAATGTGTCTGAAAAGATGTAAGAAAGTGTTTTCATTTTTGTAGCTTTAATTCTCATGGGGGAAGAACCAGAACATAACCATATAGATATTTTTGTATATGTCAAGGTGATTTTTAAAAGGCTGAAACAGGATAAGAGAGTGAAAATTATGGGAGGCAGAGCATATCATGATGCTAAATAGGAGCAATTAGCAAGGTTGTGGAAAACATGAAGGAGTTAGCCATCAGGAAGAAGACATTCCAGGTAGCAATATCAACCAGTACCTGGATGACATGGCAGAAAACAGTAAGAGGGCCTTGTACAATAGAGTCTAGTGAACAACTGGGAGAGTAGCTGGAGAGAAGTCCCTGGAGATAGATTGATCTGAGAGAAAAAAGACCTTATAGGTTCTTTTCAATAATTTGTGTGTTCTCTGAATGGCATGGGGAGCTTTGCTTGGGTCTTGAAAAAGGAATAAGATAACTTGGCTCACTTTTCAAAAGTATTAATCACACCAGTTAGTAGGTTATTTTAGTAGCCTGGGTGAGAGGTGATGGTGACTTCAGAGACAGCATTGGAGGTGGAGGTAAATATTCAGTCTCTGGGCACATTTAAAGTTAGAGCCAGTAGGGTCTTCTGGTGTACTATATGTGGTACCAGTAAGAAAGATTAGAACAAAAGCCATGGTTATGTTTTAGGGTTTGACTAAGTTTAAGTTCTCATGAGCAGGAGTGTGGAAAACATCAATGATGAATAACACTTCAGATATACTCAGTATGTTGAAAAAGTAGAATAAGGTGGCAGTTCCATGATGCCTGATTATAGAAGCATTGAGGATTTCTTAGCATTTCAGTGGCTTTTAAAGCCTGAGACTAGTTGAAATCTTCAAGGAGTAAGTGCATATAGAGAAGACAAGGACAGAACCCAGGAGAACTATGACATTAAGAGGTCAGGTGGAAAAACAGAAACCATTCAAGGAGACCAACACATGCTTCCAGGGGAGGTAGGAGGAAACTTAGGAGAGGGAAATATAGCAGAAGCCAATGATGTTTCAGGAGGAATAGTTAGAGGATCCCAGTGCTTCAAAATGTCAAGTATAATGAAGTTAATAGCTGATCATGCACTTGACAAAGGCAGGCCATGGAGACTTGATGAGACTGTGGACAAAAGTATGGTGGTTGTGATCACATGCACTAGACTACAGATGAAAGAGACTTAAGGGGAGAAATTGGAAACTGTAAATATAGGTTATTCAAAGATTTGTGTGAAAAGGAAACAGAAGAAATGAAGACAGTAGGTAAAGATGAGTTTGAAGTAAATAGAACATTTGCAGGCCAAGACAAATGACTTAAGAAACACAAACTAGTGATATCAGAGAGAGAATACAGCAATAACATTATTTTAAAAGGAATATACAGAGGGCAAAGTTTGAATTAGGCTCTTGAGAGTAGATCACCGAAATGCTCACAGTATTTTGAACTTCTCTTCTTAGTTTTCTACAGACTGAAAGCAAAACTATCAACTGAGTAAGAGTGGGGAAGAATCAATAGAGGTTGTTGGGGAAAAAATGTGAAACATTAAGACAAACAGATGAGTGGTTGAACTAAGCAAGTATTGGAGTCATTGGATATTTTAAATGGAGAGTAGCTAATACTGTCTTCTTCATTGACACAGCAAAGGCACAGAACAAGTAAAGTGGGTTTAACCAGAGTTGAAGAATGTTATACAGTGGATTTAATAAAAATAACAGGGCAAAGGAATTATGTTAAGGGAGATGGTATATGATTGGACATGGAGCTTAAAGCTGGCAGAACCAGAGAAGACAGGAGATGATCACAATTAGGAACAGTTGTGGGAAACATAAAAAGACTGGGGAGTTGAATGCCTCAGCATCATCAAATGTTAGTGGAAATAAAGTTAGGAGATACGTGATGTCATTAAGGGAGTTCTGTACCTTTGCTCTGTCAATGAAAAAATCTATTGTCTACTCTCCATTTAAAATACCTGATAACCCCAATAATTACTTAGTTCATCTACTCATTTGTTTGTTTTAACATTTCACATTTTACTTCCAGACAACCTCTATTTGACTCTTCCCCATTCTTACTCAATTGATGGTTTTGCTTTCACTCAGAAGAAAACTAAAGCAATCAGAAGAGAAGTTCAAAATACTTCAATCTATCATCCAGCACCTAATCAACATTTTGGCCTCAGTATATTACTTTTGAAATAATGCAATTGCTGTAGTCTCTCACTCTGACATCACTAAGGGAGAGCTGTGATGTAGGATGAAATGGGGTTTGGAATACTCTGTTGATATAAATATCCCTGTTTGTCAAAAGAGGTCTGGACCACTGTCTCACCACAACTTTGTTGCAGGTCAGCCTTGGCTTTTGAGAGTCTAGCCCTTCTCTAAAGGACCCATCAGTAACTTCTAAAACAAAACTTCCAATCCATCACTGAGTGCAGATAGTGACCAGGAGCCTTTTTTTGACCCATGCACTTGACCTTGTCCTGTTTTCTTTCAGTAGACTGTTTGAGACTGGGTTCTATAGTGATATTCTGTCATTAGCTGGAGGTTTGTATTGAATCCCACCCCATTGCTCTGTGCCAACTCTATCCAAAGAAGAACTCTTGCAACTTCTAGAAGAGAAGTATTTAAGTATGTCTACCATCAAGAAATAATAAAATGTAAGATGACAGGTCAGTGTATCTGTTGTGATCACTACCCAATACACATACAAATTAAAACATTCCACTGTGCCTCATAAATAGGTATAATATGTGGCAATCAGAAGAGAAAGCTTTGTGCAGATGCCAATATCATAGCCAATGAAGTTTAACCGAGGCATGATTATTGCTGATCATGACTATTGCTAGAAAAGAAGAGGAAAAGAATACCATCTACTTCTGACACTTTGGTTTTCTGGGAGTGCCTATGGCTGCTTTGCCTTAGCAGTTCTCAAGGTCCTGCTTTCTACTTTATCCAGTTGATTCACTCTCAGGCTTCTCCATCTCTTATGCAACTGTACTCTTGGGTCCCTCTTTTGTCTATATCAGGCCAATATTCCAAACTTTCTAGTACCACACCTACCTAAATGTCCTCCAGGCATGTCACACATAGAAGCAAGTCATCAGTCTACCTTTTTCCTCTGCATTATGCCTGTTAACTTCCAATATCTGTACCAAAACAATCACCCAGCCCAGAGGTCTGGAGTTATTTCCCACTCTACTATTTCCTTGCTTATTATTTTGTTAGTCCCATCTATTCTACTCCAGTCGTGTGCTTTCTACCCCTCCTGTCTCTGCATTGGCTGTGTCTATCACGTCGTTTCCCAGTCTCAAGCCCCGCTAGCACACCATGGCTACTTGTTGTTTCCTTCTGTAAAAGTCTGTTCATCTAACTTCCCTGGTCACATACCTGGAATAGTCTTTCATTTTCTGTGAAATAAAATCCAAACTCTTTAGGATGTCACAGTCAAAGCCCAGCTAATGTCTTCTGTTTTAGTACACACATTCCTCTCCATCCAAAGTGCCAAATAATGCATACTTGATGCAGACAATCTGGAAGGCACAGAAGCAAAGAGAGATTAGAACAAAATTATTCATAATTCCACTACTAAGAGGTGATTAGTTTAACACTTTAGTGTATACCCTTTCATTTTTTTAATAACTGCACATGTACATGTTTTTATTTTGTACCAAGCATTTCTCCTATTGGTCTATGTGAATAAGTTAATTTTAATTTATCTACCCTTTCTCATATATACAGCCTCTTAACCTACTTAACTAATCATATGTAATTTTAGGCCTGAATTTTCCTTTCTTGTATCCCATCTGGTCTTTACATGCACTCTCTGAATCTCATCAAGAAGTAGCTCACTGTTTTAATGACATTGTTGTCTCAGTGTGCTTTTCTTTCTCTGACTCTTACTATATACACTGGCTCAGATGCTCCTCTCCCTGGTGTCCTCCACAGAAATGAAAGCTCTTATTTATATGTGAAGGCTCTATTTTAAATGTTATCTTATACACATTGTCTGCTGCCCCAGGCTGGGTTAATCCTCCCTCTGTACTTCCAATGTTGTGTGCACACCTTTCCTGGAGCACTTAGCCTGCTATCAGGGGCTGTTTGCTTTGCATGGGACTTTCTGATTCTCAGAGCTTGGAGAGGACAGGGAGTTTCCTTTATTTCAGCTTGGGCAAATTTCTCATCTCTGTCAAGTTTGTTGTACTAAGGAATAGATGACTTCAGTATTCCTTAAAAAATTATTTCTTTCATTGAAAGAGAAAGAATGCAGGATGGTGGTTATTGGAAGCCAAGAAAAATTATCTCCACCAGCAAATGAATCAAAAGGATGTTGCTGTTTGGAGAACAGGAAATAGCAGCCTGCAATCATCTGACCTGATGGATTAAAGCTTGTGAACACATGAGTGCTAATGGATGTCTTAAAATGTTCTGTGTTTGAGTGAAGAAATAAAAGGTAGTTGCTAAAAATACAGAATAGTACACATTTGTGAAAAGCATTTAACAAGAAAATAGAGTTCTCACCTCCCTCTTTTGAAGTCATCTTATTTGTCCTTGTGACACAATATTAATATATCTCTAAGTACTTGCACCAGGGTGAGTTATGCAACTGAAGCTTACTAGTGAAATTATTACAGTAGATATTTACTCCTATTTATGTTTCGTGTACGTCCTGGGGACAAGATTTGTGCTTTTTTATATATGAGGGGTATGTCTTATAAACAGTTACAAATAGTGACATTGGTATTCATCACTGAGCAGATTTTTACAATACTGTTGTAGAGAAGTTGTTTATTGTGATATGTTTGTATTGCAAACACAAATGTATACTAAACTAGATAAACATGCTATAAAATACTCCTGCTCGTTACCCACATTAGGTTTAGCATTATGTTTCAGATATATATTGATTGCCTAATCCATGACCTGTTGGAGATGGAACTCTAACCCAAAAGCCATAAACTGACAACAGGAAAACACAGATAAGTCTATCCTTCTGCTCTGCCACTTGCCAGCCTTTTAAATTTGCACACAAAGATTAATTTCTCAGGGCAACAATTACATTTCTTTAAAAAAAAAAAGTTGGGAGTGGGTAAGATCTGTTTCACAGTGTATTGTTTGTGGCTCTGTTGCTGTGATAATACTGACCAAAACCAATGTTTGGGAAAAGAGTGTAGTTCGTCTTATAAGTCACAGTCCATCAGTGAAAGAAGCCAGGACAAGAGTCCAGGCAGGAACTAAAATAGATCCCATGGAGAAGTGCTACTTACTGGCTTGCTTCTAGATGTGTTCAGCTACTTTTCTTACACCTCTTTTATCAGTTAGCAACCCACAACATGCCCCACAGACATGTCCACAGATGAATCTAATGAAAAGAACTCCTCAACTTAAGAGTCCTTTTCCCCAGGTGTGTCAAGGTGACAACCAAGATTATCCATCACACACAAGGGGTTGACAGGATTAAATAAACAATGTATATAAAGTGCCAGAATATTAAATGCCCTATTTAGCATATGAAAGCTATCAAGATTTCAGAGAAACCAAAATGAACAGATATATAGTTCCAAAGTAACCCAATTTTTCCTTAAGTAAATTACTTGCTTCTTTTTATTCACAGTCAACATTGCATTGTGAATGATTGTCGCTAAAATTGTTTTATCAAGATGTGAAAGGCAATTTACTAATTATCATATTCACAATGACATCTGTTTGTGGATATTGCCTACCCCTCTACCTATTTATGGCTGACCCAATGCTGTAACCAAAACATTCCTATTTGGACTGTACCAAGACACATTTTATTTAAAATGGACTGGAACTAATTTGTCAAGAGTGTTTGTATCATCAACTAAGCCAGAATCAATAAGAAATAGGATGAGTCTGCATGCCTGGAGGTGTGGGTACTCAGGCACCAAAGTAAGAAGAGGGCCTGGAGAGAGAGAGAGAGAGAGAGAGAGAGAGAGAGAGAGAGAGAGAGAGAGAGAGA